TTACTTTTTGTACTAGTGTCACTAGTGAAATAGTAACAAAAAGTAGTTCCTGAAATATTAACATCCTGGCCATCCCTGCAACTTAACCATCCCACTTTCATTAAAATCTACCCTCTTTCTCCTTTCACTGGTTTATTACTTATTTTATGACTCTTATACTGACCCTCAGCTTCTCTAATATAATAAGAAACTTCCCATGTGGTTCATTGTGGTTTGTTAGGTCTGACTTAAAAAGATAATTCATGTTAATGCTCTAGATAATTATCTAGTTCAAAAGGTTTTGCTGAGACTTTTTTTAATTTTTTTTTTTTGTTAAATGGAAAGGTGGCTGACATTCTTCTCCTTCCCACCCCCTCCCTTGAATTCATAAGTCCATATATTTGCTGAACCCAGCCTAGGAGTCTGAGAAAGAAGTAGCTGAATTACCACTACTCGTAGCTAGGCAGGTCAGTAACTCCTAGCAAGGGTGAGTGGAGCAATGGAAATAAACTTAAAAGTTAACAGATGGTTCTCCAGAGCATAGTAGATGTGGAGAGAACAGGTGAGGCGGAGCTGAGTTAAAAAGTTTGAAGACTTATCTACGATCTGTAATCTGAAATCATTTTTTCCTTAAATACTTTGAAGCTTTTTTGGATTCATTACTATTTTTTCCATAGTATGTATACCTGCTACTCTCTTTCAAATAGACCTACTAGCCCAAGAGTTTTCTTTAAAATCATATTGAAGAGTATGAACTCTGTGGGGTTACCTGTTTAGCATAATCTAAATTTGATTTTTAAAACCTCTAACCTTTCTCTAACTGCTCTGTGGATTAGATTATCCTTATCTCTCTCTCTGATTGCAGTGCTTTTATCACTGTAAAATTTAATATCTGTAAGCAAGTCAAGACCACTTCCTGCTATATTTACTCTGTGATAAACCTTCTGCTTCTTTGCTATGACCTATCAGAAGTAACAATAACCTTCTCCTAACCAGCCTGCGGCTGTTGTATAAAATTATTGCAGCTGATCATGGCCTCAAATCCTTCATTCTTTTCTTCTGTTGTAGTTCTGCCACCAGCATGGCATTCTTAAATAAATGAATTGCAGATCAATTCCTTTAGGTGTCAAACATGATCCAGATAAATATGATGTTTCCTCAAGGGATAGGATACACTTTCTTGTCATTTGCATTTTATGACAGATAATAGTCAGTACTTCTATCAGTGCAATTGAAAATTTCTAATAAATTGTCACTTTTCTTAAAGAAATCTGGAGGCTTATCAGGCAAGAAAGTAGTGTCAGAGCACTCCTGCTTTTCAGACGGGAAAGTGAGACCTGACTTTGCCTAGACATTTTGGGTGAAGTGTGTTCCCACAAGTAACGTTCCATGAATAGCACACGTAAGAAGCAGCACTGGAGCCACAGTTCTCAAGGTGTAGAAGGGGGAAGGCTTCCAATATGTGAGAATTACATCAAGACTAGGATATCATTCTTAAAACTGTTATAACTGACCTATTTTTTACCTTGAAGATTTATGCAGGTTCATCTGCAATTGTCTTCACTTGGTACTTCTGTGCTTATCACTGCAGAAAGTTGGTGTTAGGACGCTTCAGGCAGTGAACCACTCAGGATTTTTTTAGCTACATTAGGCCTAAAGAAATCCTTCCACATTTAATTAGAAGCTTCAGAGTAGATTTTTTTTTATAATACTTTGCTCTGGTATGTCTTATAACATTTTAAAATTGTTTGTGTGTTTGGAACCCTAGATCAAAAAAAAAAAAAGTCTCTGCTCATTTTTGACAAGGGGTGTATTAATCTAGTTTCTTGTACTTCCATATTTCAAGTCATTTTTCCCAATGATTGTTGTGATTTTTACCTATTATCCATTTCTTTTAGCAAAAAAAAGATGTCAACAGTGATTTCCTTTTGCAAGCTATCCCACGAGTGAGATAGTGTCGATCTCTGTAGCCATTAATTCTTAGCTCTATAGGTGTGAAGTGCAATGCTACGGATGCTTAACTATGCAAAGGATTTTCTTGCTCAGAAAAGCTACTACGATTTGTTTTATATAGCTCAGTGCAGGCCAAATTAAAATTACTGCAGTAGTATGAACTGAAAGTGCTCTAAAGTGAACATAATTTTTTAAAATTATATTTCTGCATGCAGTTAAAATTCCACAATATGATATACTGCTTAGTTATATTAAGCAGCACTGTTGATCAAACTCATATTTTAGAAACGTACTAAACTCACTTTCTGTTCTGTATTGAGGTTTGCAAAAGAAAAAAAGGATCCACCTTTTTCTTTTATTGCTTTGTATTGTCATTCTTTTTTTTTTATTTTTTTAATTTTTTTAATCACGGGGACAGCTTGTTTGCACATCACTTTGCTAATTGAATGTTCTTTTATTGGTTTGCTTAATTAGATGACTCCAGACAGCATGAACAACAATAAGCTTAAGCAACATCAGCAGCTGATAGCATTGTGTTGCCTAACAACTTCAGAGCAGTTTCTCCAATTGAGCTGAGTTGCCATAGTAATATCTGCCCACTGGTGGTGGACCTGCTTAGGGAAATTGAAATAAAAACAAACTTTCAGAGTAACATCAGGACTGATACGTTAGCCACAGCAACATCAAAAAACTCAAAGTTATTTCTGCCACAAATATAAATGAGGCTTAATTTGGCTTAACATCACCCCTAGAAAGATTTCTATTTTAGGATGTCCAAGTCTGCTACTTTGCTCCAATAAATATAAGTCCCTAAATATATGAGATGAGCAGAGATGAGCCCACACTCTCTTTTTATCCATGATACCATTACCGCTGCATGTTTAGGGTCTACTGTTTTCCTTAAATTTGCACTTCATACCATTGAATATTTTCAATATTGGGCAGTTAGCATGAGTATAAAATACTCACTTGTCTCATGTGAACACTTCCCAGAGATGACTTTTGACTTTTAACTCCACCTCAGTCCTATAGGAATGACTGAGAAAGTTTTGATCACTTCTATTAAATCCATGCAAATTTGCATTTTCCCAACCTCCCTTCTCTAAGGGCTGTAGAGCTACTACTGATTCTGAAATGTTTATGACGACTTCACTACCCAAACTCTGCCCGTGCACTGAAACATTTTTAGCACTGAAAAATAGAAATAGCTTTCCTATGCCAAGATGAAGGTGCATCAGGTATTTGTGGAGTGTTATTAAGAAGTGCATAATTCAGCAGTTCTGAAATGATTAAGGCATCTAATCTGTTGTTAGCATACCAGCCACAAAAGGGCATAAGTACCTGATAACATTAGAAAATGACATTCAAAAACTGATAGTAACGCTGTATTTCTACAACCTGCTTTCTCTAGGTTGGCACTGTAATTTCTTCTTCTTCTTGGGATGGAACCATGCTTTATTATGTTTATTTAACTTGCTACAAATATTCCTGAGATAATCTCGTTCTTCTTTTTAAACAATTCAACTATTTGGAGAAGAAAAAGAAAAGGGAGGGAGAGAGAGAGCTTCTGTAGATGTCAATTAAAATGATCTTTTTTTATTTCAGAACGCCTCTGAGTTCAGAATACTGCTGAGTCTTCTCATTTCTTCAGAGTTTTTCAAATGCTTTATGATATATGCTATAATTACAGGGCTGAGCTTTCCTGCCCTGGAAAGCTAACGTAGTAACTCTAGCCCAATAAAAATTATTAGACCATCTGTTTTGTTTCACTGTCCTATTCAGACAGAGAGAAAAAACACCTGAATCACTATCTGTACAGAAGATACTGGAACCTTTAATCTGGATGCATGTTTCCAGAGTTTGTTATAACTTTGTGGAACGATAGAACACTTTCCCCCTGCCATATGGTCTGTCTGTCTATTTAGATTCCTTGGATTAAAATTAAATTTAGTCAAATACTTGGATGAAATGATATTTTAGTTTGGCCTCTATAACAGGGTTTCTTCCTTCTCTAAGCAGTTACTGTTTGCTTTCTTCAATATGCTAGACAGCACTGATATTAACTGATAACCGGTGCTCTAGGCTTCTGTCTTTGAACTACAGTGTCAAAATCTCCATTTTTGAAAGTATCTATTGTCCCATCCCCGTCTGCCTTAACTGTATGAAATTCAGTATGATCAGAGTGGGATGCTTTTTAAACAGAAACAGTATGGAATATTAATTGGGTGCTGATGAGATATTTGCTTTGTAATTTGCAGACTGTCATTCTGATTTAAAAAAAATACTGTATCTATGGAAACAAAGTGTGGAAAATAGCTTTTACATCCAAGGAATGTTCAAGGAAAATGGTTAGGTGGGCTTAAGAATCCTAGCAGTTGTCTTAGTAGTAAAAGTCAGGGCATTGCTGGTATGAAAAGGAATGTAGCAATGTGCTGCATGTAGGATCCTAACATTTTAAAGCTAAAAGAGGGAAGCTTGTTCGTTCTAAACTAGTTAGAAGTTCTCTATTCATAGTAAAAGTGATTTTAATTGGCTAAGAACAAATAGGTGGATTTTAACTGTGTTCAGATAAAAATTGTTTTAGCAAATTATATTTGTGCAAATTACTTCATCAATTTTTTTTTTCTTTGCTGCTTTTGTGAATTGTCATATCCTAATTAAGGAGATGTCCCAGTATAACATTTAGATCCTATTTATTGTTAATGAGTTGCCCTAAATGCTACAGGAGGTTAATAAGCAATATTGCGCCACATTTGCCATTGTTTATTTAATATTTAATTTAGATATATTTGTATTCTTCATCTCTCTTTCTCTTACATTTTATTTTCTGACTAAAAAGTATTTGCTAACAAACTGCAGTTTTAGAAAAGCTCCTGGCATTAACAATTCAAAGATACTTTTTTCTCCAAGAGATTTCTTCAGCTTTTTGACCTCCTGTGGTTACTATTTGGTCTACTCAAAGCTTCTATAAAGCTGTGATGCATGTAGTGTTGTCATAGAAAATGCGGGAAACGTCTGCATTCTTTTTATGAAAAATATTAATATGTGACTTGAGTTCACTCACTCACCCTTTCTGATTTATTGATGGACTTGGAGGGTCATGATCGTCCTTAGTTGTTGTACTTCGGTCCATATTACGAACTTGTCTTGGAGAACTTGAATTGGCTTCCTTCTGGATGAAAGTAAATAAGATTTGCTCCAGGAACACACACAATGCTTTCCAACCATAAATGGTGTTCAGTTCAAGGGACTAGATTAGAGCTTGTCCAGAGTAAATCTCCTTGACATACATGTAACATGGAAATTATAATCTCAGCTTTACAGAGCCATTCCTATTGCAGTATATTATTGAGATAAGTAACTAAACCATGAGGAGACTGCAGTAAAAATACAGCTTTAACAGAAGGATACCTTCCTTAGAAAAAAGAAAGGAGCAAGCACATTTTTTCTTCAGTGTTTCATTAATCCAAATTATTTAACAAAGTATTGTTAATGAAGAAATTGATGTCAGAAGAAAATATTAAATCTTACTTGTGATGTTGTTATAACTATTTTATATTTCAAGTCCATATGTTATTTCTAATTTATGTGGAGTCAGGCACAAGGGCTTGCTTGTTGATTTACTTAAAGGAAAGGCTTAAACTGGGAGAATAAACAAAACCTTATTTAGTGTACCCCGCTTTGGCCAGCGTTATACCAGGACAGTGATCTGAAATCCTGTGCCAATATTAATTCCTAAAGGTTTTGGGTAAAGGCAAATGTATGGGACGCTCTCGGACGTACACTGCACAGCCAAGCTGCAGCTGGCAGCCTTGGCTAACAGGAAGCATTTAAAAGGTAAATAGACTATGGAACAGAAAGAAAGAATTTTGTTCAAGCTCTTTTTCAGTGAAATATTGTTCCTCGGGGGCCAATAAAGGAGCTGGAGTGTAATGCAAGTTGTAATGAGGAGAAAGCTCTGTGGCACCAGAGCCCCCTACTGAATGTGAAACCAGCCTTTGGTAGAGTTAGAGTGACTGCAGGAACTGTTTTGCAATGGTATTCCATTTAAAGTGCTTGTAACATTTGTTTTTCGTTTAAAATTCATGCTCCTTTCCCATGGTGTGTGTTCTAGGGGAAAAGAAGCTAGTGAAAGTAAAATTGCACTTACCGCTAGTGAGAATCCACCTCAGGAGTTTTTCCTTGGGTTCATTTTGTAATCCAGAATCTGAATGTTTACTTAGACTTCCGGGATCCTTAATTTGACCTGTGCTAGACCTGCTTGTAAAAGCAGTGGATCAATTTACGGGCAACAAAAGGTGAGACAGCCGGAGGAAATAAAAGGAAAATGTGATGTAACAAGAAAACTAGAGTGAATGAACAGGCAGACGACAATATTGAAGATACTACATGCAATATAATCTAAACGTGAATTGCCAGAATATGCATGACTGAGCCTTTGGATATGTTAACACTTTTTAAAAGCCCACATAAGGCATAAGACTTAAGATATTTTAAAACTACAGTGTAAAACTGCTATTATTGCATTGGTGGAATATGAATGTTTCTTTGTTTAAAAAGAAACAGAGCCCAGTGAGGAATTCAGTTATATTGTAATAGATCTAGCAAAAATTACACCTTTTTGCTACATGCCATAAAAATTGTTTACATAGGTTAAAATATTTTAGCAGTTAAGCATTATTCTAGAGTTTTTAGACAATTGAGTTTGGAAATATTCTTGTGGTGGCAGTGCAAAATGATATATCTGCAAAACTATTTGTGAAGGAATATAGGTTTTATCTAGCCGTAAGTAGTGAAGTTCTCCTTAGTGGATGGTACAGCTCAGTTTTTCTGACTTTTTGTTTCCATTATGGTTTATAGGAATATTTCCAGATCGTCTTTGTGAGCTGTACGTTTTGTATGGTTTGGGATGTCAAAAGTCTGCAAATGTTCCTAGATGTTCCAGAGGCCACTGGATTTGTTCTGCAGTGGAATTTCTTGGAGAAACGCACCTTGAAGTTGAATGAGTGGGGTGTTAACTTGTAAAAATTAGTGAACAGTCCTTACGTGGAGAATTTGGAGCACTCTAGCACTGGAAACAGCAACAAAAAAAACCCCTCCCAAATGCCTTTTTTATTTGGCGTTCTGATTTTCCCTTTCCTTCTTTCAGAAACATGCCGAGGATCAGATGAAAATGGTAAATACACAGGCAGAATCCATGATGAGACGCACGCTTCACTTTCAGTTATTGCTGGGGAGTCTGTGACATCAGGAGACTAAGCAAATCACGTGAAGTCATACAGGCGACCCATGACAATTATAGACCATGTGTCTCCAACCTCTCAGGCTAGTGCACTTAACAGTGACACATTTTTACAGTGTGGCCATTATTATACCAATTTCATTGAGAAGATAGCAGCATTAATAACAGGTAAAAATGAAAATAGTGAAGTATTTGAAAAGTTGAAAAGGTGACTGGTAAATTAGTAGTTCTTCTGTAATAGTATTTGGACAGAGAGCAGAATTTTACTTAGGATCTAGGAGGAGGTACATCCTAAGAATATAACTGAAAGCAACTGCAAATCAAATAGTAGGAAACTTATTTTACATCTAGCAGATAATATGATCACTTTAGCATAATTTGCACAAATTATATTGCAGTATTCCTTTCAAAAATGAATCACAGCGATTCAAATTTTCCAATCCAGTTCTCTGGATCAGTGAGTGTAAAAGAAGTTTTATTTAAAAAAATAACCTAAGAATATGTTCTGATGATTATCATATCTGTTAAATAATTTTGTAAGGTTCTGCGTGTATATATAGCTGACTTAGACTGGTTTTGATTGTACTTGTAGTGTGGTCCTAACAAAACATACTGAAAATCTTCATCTGCAAGAGCCATACTTCAAGACAATAGTTTGCCCTTTTTACCTGTTATTCATAGTTTTGCTATAAGAGCAAAGGAAACTCCCCTTCATTTGAATATTGAGTATATTTCCTTTTGTATTCATGTAATCCAAAATAAACTATTTATGTTACATACTTTATTTAGATGTCATCAATAACTAATATTTCTAAGAAGTGATTTGGAAAGGAGAACAGTACAATTCCTTAAAATGGTATCTTTTTGTCAAGGGAGAAAGGATATCGGAATACAAAAATATAAGAATAAAGAATTGTTAAACTTGGAATTTCATTTGGGTGGTTAGTGTTTGTGGAGACACACTGTTCACTTACAGAATCACAGTTTACTTACCTAATCATTTGACTTGAGTAATATTAGAAAAAGTTATAAAAATGGATTCTCTACCCTCTTCAATGTTCTTTCAAGTGTAAGTGGATACAGAAGGTATCCTATGTCTGTCTTTTAAATTCTGCTCGCAGGCTTAAGATATGCATTTTTCCATGTGCCAGAATGATTTTGCTGTGAAATACAAGAGAAGCCTGAATGATAGAATAAACCAACTGAGAATAATAAACATTATTTTCCTACATTTAATACAAGAGAAAATGGACTTTAAAAAAGAATGGACTTAAGCAGAACATGCCTTAGTGTACTATATAGCAAAAATGTGGAGGTGAATTTTCTATTGATTACAAGTAAGCTCTCTTGCAATGAGACCTGATAGGATGGAACCAACTTGTACTATCAACTTTGGGTTTGTATTTATAGAAGGCTAAATCTTGCACCAACTCAAATAAACAGATCATACAAAAAACAATATAAAATCGAACCTTAAAATGCCGATGCACTGTTACATGAGTATCCTTTAAAATGCAACTTTATCCATTTCTGTTTATTGTAAATCCAGTCACTTTTCTGCAGGTAGTTGAGAGAATGAGAATGTGGAATATACAAATGACTTTAGTCTAGGACATGATATTTTATTGTCTGTGCTTGCTTACTCAAGTCCAATTTTGCTTTGTGCAGCTGTTCGTGATTTTATTCTCCTTTGTCAAAATGCCGTTCTTGCATAGTATTTAAATGTTGCCTAACTACTCTTACTAGTAGAATAAAATTTAATGTTTTTTTGGAAGAGGTTCATTTTAGTTCTGCCTTGCAAATTTATTTTTAAATGGGGGACAGAATAAATGCTAGTTCAAGTCACATTTTTGTGTAGTGAGCATAAAGAAAGTAGCACGTGGATGATTGTCCTTCACATCTTAAAGGTGTGCCACTATTTGGTAGGTGCATCAGCATTAAATTTCTACTCTCATTAAACCTGAACAGTGTATTTGTAATGCAATTGTGATCAAATAGAACAGCTTTAAGGTGCTCATATAGATGATTACACTAATAAATTTTATTGTAACTGCTGTAAAGTCTTCTAGGGTTATGGTCTGTGCATTCATTGAACTTCGATGTTGCAGTTCAAAGAAGCAAGAACCTCTTCTGACTTTAACCACTGGAACTTATTTCTTTTAAAGTCTAATTATTTTAAGGCAAAGTGAACAGTACTCCAAGACTTTGATTATTAAATAGTCTGCTTTGTAACGAAGTGTGAGCAAATGTTATTTCCATCTGTGGTCGTCTCTGAAGACTAGATAAGAGAGGAGTTTTTTCTAAGAACATTTTGAACATGATGCATTTGCTGTTGTAAAGGCCAAGTTTATAGAACTTTTGTATTTTAGTATTACTATTTGGAAAATGTGGAGACTAAATTCTTCTGTGTAAATGAGATTACAGATAAAGGACAGATTGGCAACTCTGCACTTGAAATAAACATGAACATTAGTGTCCTATTGCTGTATTGTAATGAATTTCACTTAATATGTTTGATCTTAAAGGTCTTCTATAGGATAAAGGTATATTGAATAGTCTATGCTTTAGCATGATTTAGTTATAAGGATTCTTCTCATGTATCTGTTCCTTCCCCGTGTAACAACAACTAGTTGAGCTACGTTTTTTTATATAGAAAAAAAACAGATGTCCAGGACCTGGTTTTAATGGTTTTGAGAAGTATAAAGCATTTTCAGTGATAACTAAAACCAGTGGGATTTAAAGGATCAATACTTTCCAGGATCAAATGTTCAGACGAGGACCCAGATTGCCAAGGTATGAGCGAACGTTAGTAGTACTTTGAAATGCTTTTAAGAAAACAGAAATTCCAAAAAGCAGAGTGCTGATGCTACATGTTCCAAGTAGCCAATATCAAGAACAGTTTTTGTTCTGTTCTGTCTTGGTTTTTTATTCCTTACTAACTTAAGAGACTCCTAATTCATTTTCAGATTCACTTCTGTGGACAATTTACATCACAGACACAGCTTCAAGGCAGTGTTATATAAATTATGCACCCATGCCAGTATTTCTGTGAAGTCCTTGCAACTGTCCTTGAATGCTTAATGATCAAGGGAAAATACGTTCATAAAGTGGCAAATAAAGAGACTGCCTTGTTTCACTGAAATATAGCTTCTCCAGATTTAAAGGACAAATACAAAATAAAATAAGCTAACTCCAAAGAACTCCTGTTTTCTAATTTTACAATATATGGCTAGATGATTAATATCAGTAATATTGTTATAATAATATCACAATGCCTAATAGGTGTAACTGCTGCATAATCAGTAAAATGCTCCTGGGATGATTAGTTCTTTTTCCTTCTTTTTTTGTTTCTGTAGAGGCCAGCAGCTGTACCCCCTAAAAAATGGATCTGATTGATTGAATTGTGACTTGTGGCAGAGCACAAAGATACTTTACAGCTTTAAAAAAGCTAGCAGAAATACTGGATGCTTCTCACACGTAGCGTCAGGCTAACTTACCTTGCCACTGTGGAAGGTCCATGTTGTACCTGGTCAAAGCTCACTCCGTAACCCTCACGGAGAGCACACCTGACCTGCTGGTATGGCAGGTCTGCAATTCAAACTAAAAACTTAGTTGTAGATACAAAGTTATATAGGTGATAATTTAACAAGGTACTTAAATATGGGCCTAATTTCAGGCATCCTCAAGTGGAATATTCATGTGTTTTAAATTATGCACTGTCTTACATACTTTGAAGTAGGACTGTAGTTACAGTTTTCATTATTTGCTTTTCTGAAATGGAGTGTGTAATTTATGCAAATTTCCAAGACATTTTGTTTATCAGTTACTTAAAAATCCAAAATATTTGTTTTTCACATTTATTGTCCTGTTTATACTTTCTGTTCAGTGAGTGGATTCTTGGCTTGAGACCAATGAACTGTTTCCCATATAATTAAATCTTAAATGTACTTACATGAAAAGGACTA